GCTGTTTCACTCAACATGATGCCCTCTAGACTCTCCCATGTTGTGCCATACTTTATGAATACTTTGTTATTCTTTAGTGCTGCATTCCATAGTGTGAATACACCATAGTTTCTATGGTTTCTCTCTGTGAGTTTGTTGATGAACATTTGAGTTGTTTCCATCTCGTTGCTATTGTGAATAATGATGAAATAAACGTGTTGTTTGTTGTTACGTGTCACTGAGTTGCTTGTGACTCATCGCAACACTATGTATAACAGTTTTGAAACCCGCTTTATCTTGAGCCAACCCTATTATCTATGACACACCTACTCCCATTACCCCAGTCATTGAGCCAGTCCATCTCATTGAAGGCCTTCCTCTCTTGCACTGTCCCTCCACCCTCCGAAGATTGTTGTTGTTGTTGTTATGTGCCATTGAGTCGCCTGTGACTCATAGCGACCCTATGTACAACAGCCCTAAACTCCGCTCTGTCCTGTGCTAATCGCACTGTCTCTGACACTCCCATCCCAATTACCCCAGTCACTGAATGAATCCACCTCATAGAGGGCCTTCCCCTCCTGCGTTGTCCCTCCACCCTCCCAAGCATGATGTCCCTCTCCAAGGACCTGTCTCTCCTCACAACATGTCCAAAGTAAGTTAGACGGAGTCTCAGAATCCTTGCCTCCAAGGAGCCACCCAGTTTAACCCTCTCCAGGACAAATCTGTTTGTTTTCCTAGCAGTCCATGGTATTCTCAATACTCTTCTCCAGCACCACAGCTCAAAGGCATCAATTCTCCTTCTATCCTCCTTGGTCATTGTCCAACTCTCTGATGCATAACAGGTGATTTCGAAGACCATGGCCTGTATCATGGCACCTTCGTCTCCAGAGAGACACCACTGCTCTGGTGTACATATGTCTGTACATGTCTCGGCTCTGATTTCCTTGGGGTATATTCCTAGTAGTGGAATAGCTGATGGTAAGTAATTTCTGTATTCGCTTTTTTGAGGAATGCCTTCCATAGCAGTTGCACAATTCTGCAGTCCCACCAGCAGTGCATGAGGGTTCCAATCTCTCTGCATCCTAACAAATCATTATTTTTTGCTGTCCTGGTAAGCTTTGCTTTTGTTTCTGGAGTGAGCTGGAGTGAGATAGTTTTGATTTGCATCTCCTTGATTGCTGGTGATTTTGAACATTTCCTTTTCTAATTGTTAGTTATCTGAATATTATCCTGGGAGAAGAGTTTTTCATTTCTTTTGCTTATTTCTAATTGAGTTGCAGTCTTTTTCTTGTAGAGGCCCTATGGTATTCTGAAGGCTCTCTTTCCATCCTATTGGAAAACATTTTGGATGCACACAGGGATTTTATTTTTAGAAGGTCCCATTTGTTAATTTTGTTTTTTCCTGGTTGTATATTTTGGTTATGTTTGTGAGTTCATTTATGTCATACACTAGGGCTTCTAAATTTGTTCCTATTTTTTTCTCTAATGATCCTTATGGATTTTTTCATTTTACCTATAGGTCTTTGGTCTACTCTGAATTGCCTTTTTTTTTTTTTTGTATAGCATGAGATGTGGATCCTGTTTTAGTTTTCTCCAGGTAATTATCCATTTTTGCCAGTTTAACCATTTGTTAAAGAGGCTTATGTTTCTACATTTAGTGGGTTTTGTTTCCTTGTCAAATATTGATTGACCATAGGTCGGTTGGTTTATTTCTGAGTTCTCTATTCTGTTCCCTTGTTCTGTGAGCCTGTTGTTGTTCCAGTGCTGTTTTGGTTACTATGGCTGTATAATAGATTCTGAGATCAGGGAGTGTGAAGCCTCCTACTTGGTTTTTATCTTTCAGAAAAGCTTTGCTTATTCAGAATCTCTTTCCTTTTCAAATGAAACTGGAAACTGCTTTTTCTAGCTCCTTAAAGAGTAAGTCTGGCATCTATAGTGTGTAGAACCTATAGATTTTCTTTGGTGGTTGTTATTATGTGCCATACAGTCGACTATGATTCATAGTGACCCTATGAAGAACAGCTCTGCACTCTGCCCTATCCTGGGCCAACCTCACCATATCTGATACACTTGATGCCATTGACACAGCCATTGTGTCTGTTTTGTTGAAATCTTCTCTTATGTTAACCTTCGACCCTTCCAGGCATGCTGTCTCACTTCAAGGACTGGCCCCTCCTCACAACATGCCCAGGGCATGTGAGATGTAGTTTCACCATTCTTGCTTCATAGGAGCACCCTGGTTTCACTTTCTCCAGGACAGACCTCTTTGGAGTCCATGTTATGTTCAATATTCTTGTCCAGATGTCCCACTGAATAACAGTGCCCGCAGGACTGGAGAGGAGGGCCAGGAAATAAAACTTTCTTTATACAAACTCTTAGCCAGACCTCTGTATATTCCATCCTTTACCTCTCTTCTGCACCTGGCACCTCTAGTTCCTGAAGTTTTCAGAGTTTCTGTGGCATGGATCCGCCTGCACTCTTTAATGTTTCCTTCTGAAGGTGGGTCTGTTTATGCTTTCTTCACTCTGTTAAATCAGTCACCACTAACCTATGTCTCTTCAACCATCATAAAACTTGTTGACATACAAGTGTAATATTTTCTTCAGTTATTTTAAGGGAATTTTGGTTTTTAAATTTTTTAATTTTTTAAAATTTTCATTATTTTTTGGGGTGTACTGTCAAATTAGATCTGACTGGTACAGGAGGAGATTGCCCCTCCTTCTCCAGTAGAGCATCTAGTGGATTTGAACCATGTACCCCTGGGATCACTTGCAATCACTTGTTATGCATCAGAGAGTTGGACAATGACCAAGGACGATAGAAGGAGAATTGATGCCTTTGAGCTGTGATGCTGGAGAAGAGTATTGAGAGTACCATGGACTGCTAGTAAAACAAACAGATTCATCCTGGAAAGGGATTAAACTGGTTTGCTCCTTGGAGGCAAGGATTCTGAGGCTCCGTCTAACATACTTTGGACATGTTGTAAGGAGAGGCCGGTCCTTGGAGAAGGACATCATGCTTGGTAGGGTGGAGGGACAACGCAGGAGGGGAAGGCCCTCTATGAGGTGGATTCATTCAGTGACTGGGGTAATTGGGATGGGAGTGTCAGAGACAGTGCGATTGGCACAGGACAGAGCAGAGTTTAGGGCTGTTGAACATAGGGTTGTTATGAGTTGCAAGCGACTTGACGGCACACAACGACAACTACCTCTGGTATTGCAGTGCGGTTTCTTGCCACTAGGCCATCAGAGCTCCTTCTTTTAATGGAATTTTAATTTAAAAAGTTATGATGGCCATATTCAGCAGGATTTAGGAAAGGAGCAGTGATGTTGTCCGTGTTCAGTCTATTTAATGAGTTGGAAACTCAGTCCTTCCTAGCTCTCTTTTTCGGAGAGTCTTTTTGCCATCTACGCAGTGGTGGTTCAGGGACAGAATTCTTGGCTTCCACATGGAAGACTGGGTTTGATTCTTGACCAAGTGCTTCTTGACTAAATGCTCTTGCACTGAACTGTCATCTCAGAGAAGGTTTGTATGCTGCTCTGATGTGGGACAGAGTTCAGTGGGGTTTTCAGAGTATGGTGAGGAGGAAAGGGTCTGGGGGTCTACTTCTGAAAGTCAAGCCAGTGAAAACCCTGTGAGTCACAGTGGGTATCAGATCTGTGGTGGTCACAGAGAGGCACAGGACTGGACAGCATTTCTTTCTGTACAGAATAGAACCGTAAAGGAATCATTTGTTTTACAAGGATCAGTACAAAGATGATTCTAATGAGACAGAAGTGAAAGATGTCCCAAATGAACAACTTCGCCAAACTTCTGTATCACTCCATTGTCTCTAACACCAGCTACTCTATTTTCCTCTGCAGTCACTTTGCCCGCCCATCTAGTTGAGGGTCTTTTCTTTGCTGCCCCTCTACCTTCCAAACCATGATGTCCCTTTCCAAGAAATAACCTCTCCCAGCAGCATGCCCAAAGTGAGTGAGATGAAGCTTCATCATGTTTGCCTCCAAGGAGCACTCTGGCTGCATGCTGTCCAGGATATATCTATTTGTTCCTTTGGCAGATCATGGAATGTTTAGTATTCTTCTCCAACACCACCTTACAAAGGCATCAATTCTGTCATTCTTGTTAATCGTCCAGCTCTCAGATGCATGACAAGTGATTTAAAAAGATCATGGCCTGAATCAGGAACACCTTAGTCCTCAAACTGACATCACTGCTCCTCAATAATTTGGAAAGGTCCCTGGCTACAGACTTTTCGGAATGCAATACGTCTGTTGATAACAAGTGGATTGATTGTGGATCCAAGTAAGGAGAAGTCATTCAGAAGAAATGGTTAGCTTTCCAGGTTCATTACTGAATGTTTTGCTCAAGATCTGTTTAGTTGAAGAGAAGTAAAAAAATGTGGACCAGAAATTAAAATTTCTGGAGGAACCCCTACATCCTACAACTGTTGCTTGAAAAGCAACTTTTAAGCTGTGAAATGAAACATGTTTAAACTAAATAACGATTTACTCTTTTAAAGAAATCCAATGGACAATCATAACCAAGACACCAATGGGAAGGGCGGTGTTTAAGTTAAGGGCGGTGAAATAAACATGCTTAGAGAGGATAATGACTCTGCTTGGGGTCTGTAGCCCTCGTCAATGAGCTGCTCACGTACAAGTGCTTGAACAGGGGTGTATTTTGTGTCTATTTTCACCCTTCGCCCCAGTACACACAAAAGCTACGTTTCTCATGGCTTCCTGACCTCGGTTCAATCGGGAAGCCACAGGCTTTACTCATCACAGAACAAAAAAGTGCATTGACCGGTTTAACCTTCCAGCCCCAGGGCTGTTGGGCCCACTAATCCGGCTGACAAAAGCAGGCCTCCTGCGCCTTTATCCTCCTCGATCCTGGCTGCAGCGTGGCGCTGAGCTCAACAGCTGGGCGGCTCTGGAAGGGCCGAGTGCAGCGCGCGGGCCCGCAGGACTTTATTTAGCGCGGCGTGCGGGGTGGTCGGGTAGGGCTGGGCACCGGGCACCATGTACCGGCGGACCTTCGCCTTCCAGATGCTGCGGGAGCAGCACCAACACTCAGAAGAGCCGCCACGGGCGCCAGAGCCCAGCCGGCCGGGGAGCGCGGGCGCGGCGCGCGGCCTGGCGGCAGTGCAGGGCCTGGGCGAGCGCGTGGCCACCTTCGTGCAGCGCGCCCGCGCGCTCGAGCAGCGCCACGCCGCCCTCCGCCGACAGGTCTACGCTTTCCGGTGCCTGGGCGACCTGGCAGCCCCCGAGGAGGCGCTTGCCCAGCAGGTAGAGGGCAACCGCCAGCGAGCCCGGGACCTGGCGGTGGAGCGCGGCCGGTTGAAGCGCCAGGGCGCCGAGGCGCAGCGCTCTCGGGACGAATTCCGGTGCAAGTGAGTTCTCACCCGGGCACGGGCGGGGCGACAGCCACCAGCGCGCAGTCCGCTGCGCTCCCGCGCGAGTTCTAGCTGCTGGAGCAGCTGTAGGCATCGGTGCGCACGCTTGTCGCCAGGCTTAGGTGCCCTGGCTGTGGTCTCTTGGCAGCTGCTGACTTTATCCCTATGGAGAATGAGAACGTGGCACCTTTCCGCCACAGGAGACTAGTTTTAATTTCCCAGATTATGAAACCTTTCTGTGTGAAATAGTGTCATTGAATTTCTAATAATTTCTAAAATGTAGGTTTAATTCACATACGAAAGTGCAGAAGGACCCTGGTGACACTGGTTGCTTAAGAGCTGTTCCAGCGATGTCACCATTTGTCTGCAGGAGAAAGATGGGGCATTCGGCTGCATAAACATTTACAGTCTTGGAAAACCTAGAGGGCAGTTCTGCTCCGTTTCATGAGCTGGCAGAGACTCAGTAACAGTGTTTTTTGTTGCTTAAAAAAAATGTATAGGTTTTTCAGTTTTTCAACTGAGTCGATTGCTACTCAAATGGCACATAACTACAACTCTTTCTTGTTACCTCTTGGGTACAACTCCCTCGACATGAACACAAGTGTTCCAGAATTCCTATTCTTTGCAATGTTTGTTGTGATCCATAATTTGTTGTGAAATGACCTTGCATTAAAAAGTACAGGTAAATATTCTTCTAGTATTTCTTGGGAAACTGAAAGATGATTTTACTCTGTCCTACAGGATTGCTGTGAGTTGGAACTGACTTGGTGGTGACAAATTTGGTTGCTTTTTGATTCATGAACCAAAAAAATGAGTAAGAAACATTTCTGATGCCCGGAAGTTTCCTCCTGACCTTTCCCAGTCAGTCACCTCTTCTAGCCATTCTTCCTCTCTCCCAGGTCTAATTTTTGTCACCATCAATTAACTCTTGCCTGTTCTGCTTAGGTGTCCTGTAGCTGATTTTTTGACTCACAGAGACTCCATGTGACCGAGTGGCCCTGTCGCACCAGGTTCCCTAGGCTGTAACATTCATGGGGCAGATCTCCAGCCCTTTGTCCTGCAGAGCCTCTGGATAAATTTCAGCCACTTCCCACTGCCTCCCCTCTGGTTAGTAGCTGAGTGTTTAGCTGTTATGCCACCACTACTGCTTTGCTGATCTGGAGCCTCACATCCTCTTCCATGTCTGGCTCCTTTTTGCTCAGCACAGTGTTCTGGAGAGTCATTCATGTGATCCAATTCCCAAAGCCTTATCCTGTTAGAGACAGTACAGCTGGCATTTTATAGACGAGGGAAATGTAGAAGTTTGAGAAAAGTTCCTCAGTTTGTAAATAGTTGCACTGAGAATGGGGTTAAAATCTTGGGCATGCTCAGACGAAATTGTTTTACACCACATCACAGCTGACACTTGGGAATTACATCGTAATGTGCCCTCTAGGGTCCTGCAGCATTTAGGAACTGTTAGATACACAACCTTTGTCTCCTTTCCAGAACTCCTCCTGTGCAAGTGTCTGCATTTTAACCAGGTTGACAGGTGATGATTGGTTTAAGAAAGTTTAAGAAATCCAGGCCCAGGATACTGTTCCTCCTCTTTATAGGCTGAGCTGTGGGGCCAGTCACTGAGGAATTGTTAAAAAGATGAAAACCTGGTAAGCGGGTTTTGTTAATGTTTTTTAGAGTTATAAATGCATTCAGTCTTTGACTCACCAGTGCCCCTTGGAGGAATTTGTTCTGTAGCCACGCTCCAGCAGTCTGCCAGAGCAGAAGTCTGGAATGAACCTGAATCCCTGTTAGTGGGATATGTTGTGTGTGTGTCGTTGAGCCAGAGCCGACTCATAGCTGACCCTCCAGTGGATTTTCAGAGGCAGTAAATCACATAGGAGGAGACTGTCCACCTTTCTTCTATTGAGAAGCTGGTAGAGTCGAACTTGTGCCTCAATAAAATTATGGTTCATCCATGCAATGGAATACTCTACAGTTGTGAAAATGAATAGTACATTATCACTTAGTTTTACAAGAAAAAGGGGAAGAAGAAAAGGTTTTTTGCTTGCAAAGAATTTCTGGATAGAGATATCAAAGTAGAGAAACTGGCTACATGCGTAGGTTAAGGGAGTAAGAACGGGGTAAATGGAAACTGAACTGGGAGAGGAAGTTTAAAAGGAACTTACCTTTTTTTTTTTTAAATTGTGTGTGTGTGTGTGTACTGTCAAATCAGATCTGACTGGTAGAGGAGGAGATTGCCCCTCCTTCTCCAGCAGAGCCTCTGGTGGATTTGAACCGCATACCTCTGAGATTGCAGTGCAGTTTCTTGCCACTAGGCCACCAGAGGCCCCCCCCCCAAGGAACATATCTTTACATCTTTAAAGAAGTTGCTTTACCTTGCCAAGAGATTTATGCATTTAGAATTTTATATTAGTTTTATTTTAAAATAAAGGTGTCCAGGGCTTAACCTGAGGTTGGGTGTTGTTATATACCATTGGGTCAGAACCAACCTGTAGCTGACCCTCCAGTGGGTTTTCAGAGGCAGTTAATCACACAGAAGGAGACTGCCCATCCTTCTCCCATGGAGCAGTTGGTGGATCTGAACTGCGTGGCTTCCGGGTTGCAGTGTAGCTTCTTGCTACTAGGTCTGGGAGTTTTAATTTCTAACCAGCTACCTGGGCCACTCCAGTAGTTAGCATTAGGATGCCTCTGGTCTAGAGTACCCAGGGGATTCCTCCAAACTTGTTCTATGTTTAAGTTCCACCACAGGAAAACAATGAAACACAACCCGCTGTCAGCTAGTCAGTTCCTACTTGTTACAATCCCCGAAGTTCTGAACCTGCACTTTTTCCCAGGAGGCTGCGTGAAAAAGAGTCAGAAAGAGATGGAATCTTTTCTGCAAGGAGCAGCTGGTGGACTTACCCACCCTTGGGTTCCAGACATGTAATCTGCTAGGCTACCAGGACCTGCTAAGTTCACAGGACACGCCAAGTCATATTTGTTGATGATTCAGTTCCCATCAGACACCTATTTCTGGTTTTGATCAACAAAACAGATTAAGAGTTAGGAAAAGGGACCTTAATGGGATAGCTGTAGTTTGAAGAGGGCCTGTAAGTATTAAGAATCCAACTTGGATTTTGGCCCCCTCACCTGTACAATCTGTGTTGGAGAGAAGCCATTCTGTAGCCCTAAAGAGATAGGACCATGTGAGGTGAAGCACAAAGCAAGAGGGAGAGGACACTGTTTCAGACAGCTGGGGTGGCTCTCTGGACCGGCAGGATACCCTAGATCCAAAAATGGCCTTTATGTGGTCATTAGGCTGTTCTCTCCTATGATGTGATTTTTCTGGGTGGGCGGGATCTTGTGTGCCCACACTCAAGTTGAGTGCTCCTTGTCAGTCCTTGGTCTCACTGAGCCCTGAGTTATTTCCCCCTCCTAGAGCAGTTCTTCAGGTTCTATGACTGGCACAGAATTCTCCTGTAATTTAGTCTCTCCCACTACCCTTTAGAGAGGTATGACTATCTTGACTGAAGTAATAGAATTTGAAATTTATTATATAAATCACACACACACACACACACACACACACACACACAGACAGAGAGAGAGAGAGAGAATGAGAATGAATGAATGAATGAATTTGGCTTTACAATCCAGAGGTGAATGAATGACTAGCTAAAGCCAGGAGAAAATAATGTAGAAATATATGTATAGTTGGGGTTCGATTTCAGCGTTAAGCATTTATGCCTATTTTCTACCCATGCAGTTTAATAATTTTAAAAGTTAAGTATTCAGAAGGTCGAGCAAAGACTAAATAAAATTAAACACTAACTAAAATTAACAGAATATAATAAAAAGTAATTTATTCAATTAGATGATTGAACCCAAGTGTTTCTTTTTAAAAATGTGTTTCATTACATTAATATATGACTGTATAAATTCTTATCATGGATTCTTTATAAGGAAATCACTTGTGTTAAATGGAAGATAGAGACTTGTCTTTGTAGTGTGAGTACTACCCAAGTTATCACTTTATTACATCAACACATTTTTTTTCATTTTTATACCTCATTATGTACTTAAAATTTTTTTAAATTATTAATTTCAATGAAAATTTACAGAGACTTTGTATTTCCATTCATTCATTGTTGCACTTTTCTCCCCTTCCAACCCTCCCCCCAGTACAACCCCCGCTTGGAAAAGTAAAAGAAAATTCTTTCATTGATTTACAGTCCTTCCCCCCAGGTCCACTCCACTATGAAGTCTTTGCTCTGGACTCCCGTCATGACAAAAATACCTAATCACATATCTCTTTTAAACATTTTCTCCCTCATCTGTTTCAATGCAGTATACAATATTTAACTCATCTTTCTCAGTCTCCTCCCAATCCCGATGTCAGTCCTGTTTTACAACAGTGGCATCATGCAGTATTTGTCCTTCTATGACTGAGATATTTCACTCAGCATAATGTCCTCCAGGGTCACCCATTTTGAATAATATTACATGAGTTCCTTGTTTTTCAATGCAGCATAGTATTCCATTGTGTGAATATACCACAGCTTCTCTATCAATTTGTTTGACATCAACACATTTTTAAACTACAGAAACTTAGATGTTTCTAACAGGGAAGAGCAATAAGAAAGTGAGAATGTTGTTAAAAATTCTATTCTTAAAGATAATGATCCACTTTCAAATAATTTCTGATTCTAAGAGAGCAACACATGAAAAGAACAGCTAAATGTGACATCATGTTGTGAAATGTTTTGCTTTCTGGATCTAACTGGATTTCTTATATGGATTTACAGCCTGTGCACACACTGCTAACTGTTCTTGCAAAGTTCAGGACTTTTAATTCTCAGAACACAGCTCTAATACTTTTTACATTTGTGAACAAAGGTACCTAAATCTAGCAGGTTAGGCTGATTGTTAATGAAGATTAGTTTCAGCTGCAAACAGCACAGACTCAGAAATGATTGTGGTTTACCCGAGACAGCAGCCTTCTTCTCTGTTAAAGTTCTGGTGAACATAAGGCTTTGTTCAGCACCATCCATGTTCATCCTGTAGAATTAGAGGAGGAATGCACAAATAGAGGCAAAGAAGGCTGTGCTCACACAACTGTACAAAGCTGCCTTGCCAGAACAGGGAAGTGCCCAGCTGAAAACCCACCCCAGATTAACAGAACCAGTAGGTACTTGGAGCAAGTGTATTTTTCTCCCTTCTAGTCAATTTCTTTCCTTGATTTGTAGAAAATGTTAGATATCATTGTCATCAGAGCAGAAAAATCTACCATCTCTTAGGAAAGATTTCTGGATGTTGCCAAACAGACGTCTGTTTATCATTCATTACCCAGCTGCAACAAGGACATCAAAGGCTCTCACCCTGTAGAAGAAGGGGAGAGTGGCTATTGGGTGGCTGTGCGATGCAGTGACAGTAAGGTAGGTTTGAGTACTTCAGAGGTAATGAGGATGACATCCATTGTTCTTAGGGTTATTATGAGTCGTAGTTAGCACCACAGCACTTAACAATGTGATGTACAGACAGGAGCCATTCAGAAAGGGCCTTTTCTCTGTCTGAGTTAGTGTATTGGTGTTAGGAACCCCTGAGTCAGAACCAACTCACTGCAGACCCTTCAGTGGGTTTTCAGAGGCTGTAAATCACACAGGAGGAGATTGCCCATCTTCTCCCTACAGAGCAGCCTGTGGATTTGAACCACTTGTCTTTGGGCTGGCAGTGCAGCTCCTTACCATAGGCTACCAGAGCTCCTGCTTTTTCTACCTTGACAGGGTTAAATTCCCAAGGACACTCGCACACTCTCCAGAATGGTCCCTGCCATTTTCTAGAAGTCAAGAAATTGATAAGAAGATATACATCTGCTTCTAGTATCTTTTACTTCTGTTAATCTTGTGTGATTTTAAATGATAGGAGAAGAGGTATTTACTTGCTCTGCTGAGGCCATTTGGTGAACTTGTTAGAACACAGATTTGGTGTTGGGTAAGTTTAAGTTTTGACTCCACTGTTCTCTTAGCTTGGGGTCCTCCAGGAGCCCATCTTGAGATGAGGCTTCGAGAATAGTGGTGTGTTCGGCACATGGTGTCAGAGAGCAGCAGTAGCGAGTGGGAAAGGAGGCAGGTGGCTGCAGCGGGACTTAGAGCTTTGTTAGACATATGACAGTTGTGTGTTTGAGAGCACATTAATCTGCGGGGCCTTCTGGGAGTCACTGTGAACCAGGCCTCAGGAATCCCAACCACAGTGAGCATTTTCACACTGGCCCTCCTTCTGTCAGTGCATAAGGACTACTTCCACACACAGTTCTCGGGGAGTGCAGCTGATCACTGCTGGGCTCACCCGAGGAAAGACTCTCGTGTGCCAGTTCCATGCCAACAGCATTTGCTTGAGGTTTGGGTGAGTGCCCTAGTTTTCATTTCCCCATTTTTCATCTGGGCATAACAATAACTATCTTCATGCCAGATTTGGTGGAGATTAAACAACACAATCTAGAAAAGCTAATGTTTAATGTATCAAGAAATAGTTTGCTGTAGGTTGTGTGGATCAACCCTCAGTTTCACAGCAGTGCTGGGTTAGAAGTATGCCAGAAGGAGATTTTCCCATACCCAGAATGGCTGGTGGGGAAGGATGAAGGGAATGGTGGGGGCAGGGTCTGGAGCCCAAGGATGTAGACACCTCATCTTTTTACTTCCTCCAGTGACCCATGCACTGTGCACATGCTGCCCTTTTCTTCACACACCATAGTATGAACAAGGTTGGAAAGTAGTGGGCTGCCAAATGAAGCATTCCTTACTGCTTTAAAATGAAGAGCCTGTCATCTGAAACTTAAACAAAAGGATGTAGCCCCCATCTTAGAACAATTTCACAGTGATTGACGGATCAATCACAGAAGCTGGCCGACTCATGCTTATGTGTCTCATTTCAGGTATGAAAATGAGTGTGAATGTCAGCTGCTGCTGAAAGAAGTGCTCGAACGGCTGAACAAGGTGAGCTGGGTGTAGTGGTGGATGCAGGTGAATTTCCAACCTGAGTGTGTCTTTAGGATTCATCACTTTTTGTAACAATCACTCTCTTTCCTTTTGTTGTTTCTGTTTATTTTTGTTTGAGTAAAGCATAGTTTCTTTAGCTATTCATCCCTCCATTGCTGAACACTTGAGTTGTTTCCAATTCTTTGATACTTTAAATAACACTGCAATAAACATGGGTCTGCATGTATGTCAGTGTCAAAGTTCTTATTTCTTTGGGATTTATACCTTGTAGAGGGATTGCTGAATCAAAGAGTATTTCTATTCCCAACTTTCTAAGGAAGGGCAAAAATAGAAGTCATTCTCTTTTTTTAACTTCTTAATTTCAACTAAATCTTTGTGCATGAACTCACATGCACAGATACAATATACACACACTCATCTAACACAAAACACATGGATTGAACTGTATCTGCCTAAAATGTGTGTCATCACCATTCATTTTGTGACATGTTTCTAAGTAAATCCTAACCTTGTGCCTGTGGAGAAATCTGTTGTCAAGGACCTCTTCAGAGTGTTGAAGAGGATGATATCAGTTCAAGGATTAAGGTGCACCTGATCCAAGCCATGGTATTTTCAGTTGCTTCCGTACATCTGAAAGTTGGACAATGCATGGAAGATGGAATAAGAATCTTGCCATTGAGTTGTGGTACAGTTGAAGAGTATTGAGTATACAAACAAATCTGTCTTGGAAGAAATGCAACTAGAGTGCTCCTTAGAGACAAGGATGGTGAAAACTCATCTCATATACTTTGGTCATGCTTCCAGGAGGGGCCAGTGCATCGAGGGAGGCATCATGTAGGAAAGGTAGAGGATTCAATGAAAGAGAAGGAAAGCCTCAGTAAGATGGATTGACATATTGACAACAAATGGCCCCAGCATATGAGTTTGTGAGGGTGACGCAGGATAGGGAAACGTCCAGATCTGTTGTTCATAGGGTTTCTATGAGTCCTAGTTAACTTGATGACATCTAACATCAACATGCCTATGGTACCATTTTGGGAGTTCCATGTGGTCCTATTAAGGTAGGATGACAGTGGGGTGGCCCTTGAGTTAGAGAGGTCTGGTGGCCTACTGGTACAGAGCTGTGCTGACAACCCAAAGGCATGTGTTTGGACACCACCAGCTGCTCCATGGGAGAAAGATGGTCAGTCTCCTTTCATGTGATTTACTGTTTCTGAAAACCTGCTGGATGGTTAGCTGTGAGTTGGTCTTAACACTCCAAAGAATGCAAGGTCCATAGATGTTGAGAGGATATAAAGACCTTCTCTCAGAGACAACACACGGAGAGGAGAGGAAGTCTTTGGAACCCTGGAATCAGAGTTTTGGCCTAAACAGTGAGATGATGGACTACGACTTGTTGAACTCATTCATTTATGGTATTTCCATACCTTATAGCAGCATTAGATGAGTAACTATTTTTATAACAGTAATAGCTAACAAAGACACCGTTTCATGACAAATATTTCTATTAAGCTTATAAGTTATATCAAGCAGTTAAAATAGATCATTTGTGGTTTAATGGTAGAATTTTAACCATTTGTGGAGGAGATAGGAGTTTGAATTTTAGGCAAAGTATCTCAGCCCAGTCCCTTCCCATCTGCCAGTATGTGCTGCTATGATCGGCAGGTCTCAGCAATGCTTCAAGACTAAGATGCTGATCTCCTTTGGAAAACCAGTCAGTGGAGAGCCTGTGTCATAGTGGTCCCTTCCATAGCCTATCGTGGATGGCGTAGGATTGGACAATGTTTTGTTCCACTCTGGGTAGGGTCACATGAGTCAGGAACATCTTGAAGGTAGCTAACAACAGCAGCAAGCTGCCACAGACTCCAGCATGGCAATGGCCAGCTGTTATTTTACTGTTCAAATAAACTGACATGAAACACTGAACTTGGGAGAGATCCTGCTTTGGGTGGTGGCTGTTTGAAAGCTGTGATTGTCTTGAGATTGCTTCTCCACAGGAAACCTCTCAAGAGAGCAAGGGAAGACATTTTCATTACCTCTCAAACTCCCCTCTCATGGTACATTCTGAGTAGCCACTGGGGGATCATACAGATTCTGAGTTCTTGCTGGAGACCCTTTTAGAGTATATACAGCCATATTTTGCAGGAACAATTCCTTTCTTTGAATCAGTCTCCATCTTCATTCTGATTGGATTTTAATTAGCCTGCAGGCCATGACTTCCAAATAGGTAATTCTGGATAGTGGGGACTGTACATACCACTGTAAACAGAGATGCAAATAGCTGTAAGCAGACCCCATCTTACCATTTCAGAGGACAAATGTTGGAGGAATAGGGCTTGCTAGTTGAAGGGTTTCTTATTTACAGTTCTAGGTCCACTATCCCCATCTTCTCCCTATGCCTATGGCTTTATCAGAATTGCTAACATAATGCAACATTCAGAATTTCTCATAAAAGTTACTCTTTTCCTGCTGTGCTCAGATGTTGCCCTGGGGAGCTCTAGGCAGCCATTTTAAACAACTAAGGTGAGTTCTCGAGTTGCTATAATCAAGGATGCTTTCGGCAGAATGTTAAATGAT